GGATGAAATGCAGGAAATGATGGAATGTCTGTGGCAGACACAGCAGCGGGTGGTAGCAGTGATTTCATCCGAGCTGAATACTGGTTTCATACCATTTTGAACAGTTTTTCTCTAAGCTTCTCTCTCTCTCTCATTAGGAATCCATTCTCTCTACATGTAAAACAGTGAAAGTATTTCCCACAGAGGCAAAATATTATACATCTCTGTGCTCACTTTTCCAGAATTAAATTCTAAATGTATACTAATTACTTTTTGGACTTCGACTCCACTATTCATTTGAAAACACAAAAGAAAATGTGTTTGCATTTAGTTGGAAGTAGGAATACTTTTCATTTTGTTCATACTAACAGAAAATGATCATTTGAGCCTTTTTTACTTGTTTAGGGAGATGACTGTTTAGGAGATACTTCCAAATGATCCAGAATGTTATATACTGAAACACAAATATTAGTTTCAAAATGGAATTAGGTATATGAAAAATTATACTTGAATTTCACTGTATGTGGGAGATACGTGATTTAAAACCTGCATTCAGTAATATTTTTTAGTAGTAAATTTTACATACTGTAGGAGGAGTTGGATATTCAAAGGGATGCTGTATGTGGTGAATCCCTTAATTAATTTAGATTTTTTTTCCAGGTTTAAACACATTACTATGGACACTTGGCCAACACAAGAACAACAGCAGTTAGCAATGTTGATTTATGCTAGAATGGAAATTGTACTGACTTGAGCTCTGTTGCTGGTCTGACCACAAACTAGCCATGTAATCTGGGATAAATTTACTTCTTTGGACCTGTTTCCCTATTTGTCAAACGATGATCTCCAAGATCCCTGCAGTGCCTATATTAAATAGTTCTGAGTTGGTTAATTCTGCTTTAGTATCCAGGGGAGAGAATTTTTCCTGGGTGTGTCTCTTGTCTTTTTATGAGCCTTTCCAAGCAGAGGCAAGAAGGGAGGTGAGAAGAATCAATCACAGAATCAAAGTGCCAGTGAGTCTAATGTCTCCTGACTTCTGCCCTCCCTCCTGCCTGAGCCTTTATTAAGCAGTTTCAAACATGTGCGTGGGGCCTCTGATGTGTCCCGTGGTAGCAATCACAGGCGGTGAAATTCATCTGTCTCCTCTTCATCAAATGCCTCCAACACACACACACACACACACACACACACACTTGTACTCAATCACACACAATCTAAGTTATTGTCTGTATTTCCTGCTATGACCAGCATTCTTATAGGGTAATATGATTCTTAGAGGTAGGGATTCAGCTCTTGCTTGGGATCCCATTGGAATATGGATCCTCTTGTTCTACAACCGGAACACTGCCATCACCACCAGCAGGGAGTTTTCCCGGGTACATGGTCCAAGTTCAAATCTTATAGGCTTTCCAAGTGGTTTTCAAATGTGATTCATAGACCAGGGCTGGCAGCACACAAAGATATGATTGGTCCATGATAAAATGGGAAACATATAAGTGACACTAACATTGTTCAATAATTCAACTTTTTCTTAAACTATATCTTTCTAAACACTTTGAGGTTAAAACATTTCCCTTTTTTATGAAGTGTGGGTAGAAGTGGTACACAGGTGGAGTGACCCCTTCACCTTCTGCCCCTTGCTTACACCACCAAGTAAATTCTCAATATCATCCCTCTCTATAAAAAGTAAACCAAAAACAAAAACACAAACAAAACATTGGGCCTGAAATTTAAAAGTCTGGGGGTCACCTGCTACTACAGCAGCAAGCATTTTCTTCACTGAATTATTTCAAATCAGTAAAAATTCCAATTTTTTTCATATGTGGAAAGGTGTTTCTGATGAAGGGGCTGAATTCAGAATTCAAGTCTGCTTTTAGTAAATATGCCACTTTGCTTTTAAAGGCAGCTATCTCTCTGGGTTATGGTTTTAAAAACTTTTCATTAAAGCAGGGATGTACTCAAGAAAGGATCCTGTCTTCTCTAAGGCAGTGTGGAGGTAAGCCCAGGAAAAGCTAATTTCTCTTGAATCAAAGGGATTGGAAACTCCTCTAGGCTAGAACACTGGGTGACTTTTAGCGTGTGCCTGCACACACACACACACCCAGTCTCCAGAGGGAGAGACTTAATGAAGCCCTCACCTCGGAGTGAGTCATCTATCTGTTATTCCCCAAGTTTGACGAAAGTGCTTGTTGCTTAGCAGCAGCCATCCTTTTTAAGCGGTACAGTAGAAGGTCACTTGAAGTTTCATTATTCCGAGGGAAGGAAGCTCGCACTATAGATCACCGATGCAGCCAGCTTTCAGTTAATAGCCGTTGTTTTTCAGAATGAATAAATCAAAAAGGAAAGTGGCTCAGCTAAGACTAATTAAACATAGTACCATTAGTTACTGGAACACATTCAGAGAAAATTCAAAAATTTCCTGAGATCATCTTTAAAAGCTTCATCTTTCATTGAGATATATGGGTAGAACAAGAAAATTGGAATTTTTCTGCTAAACTCCCATAAATCATTAAGATTCTCAGATAATCTCTGTAAAGCTTATATAAGTAGTGAAACTACAGGAAGAGAATATTTACTTATGTGGGAGAAATAAGAATAATTTTTTAAAATAAGGCACATTTTTAGATGTAAATACATCTTAAAATTAGAGTGTGGTTATATTTAAAAACAGGTTAAAATTTTTTGACATGAAAAGCTAATTTAAGGCTGGGTGTGGTGGCTCGTGTCTGTAACCCTAACACTCTGTGAGACTGAGGTGGGTGGATTGCCTGAGCTCAGGAGTTCAAGACCAGCCTGAGCAAGAATGAAACCTCATCTCTAAAAATAGCCAGGCGCTGTGGCAGGTGCCTCTAGTCCCAGATACTTGGGAGCTGAGGCAAGAGAATAGCTTAAGCCCAAGAGTTTGATGCTGCTGTGAGCTATGATGCCAGAGCACTCTACCAAGGGTGACAAAATGAGACTCTGTCTCAAAAAAAAAAAGGAAAAGAAGAGAAAAATAAATTTATTTGAAAGCCAAAAGAGAAGAGTAAAGTATAATGGTAGAGACACGCTATTTGTCTACATTTAAAAATTGAATATTACAATAAAGATGTGAATATTCTCAAAGTAACTTATAGTTCTAGTACAATTCTAATCAAAATCATTATGACAGAGTTTCTCAAATTTGCCTAGAAGAAGAAACTGGAGAGAGTAGCCAAGATAATTCTGTAAAAATATCTTCTCTACTAAGCATCAAAATGTTCTAGAGAGAATACAATTCACAAAAAAAGTATGCACGTCTAGAATTGTTATAAATGAAAAGATAGTGTTTGGAAGTAGGGAGGAAATACAGTGGAAACTCCAATACGAGCGGAGACTATTTACTAAATAGTAGGAGGAAAGCTGGGCAACTATTTGAACAAAAATGTTGGCTCCTCACCATGTTCTTCTCACTAAAATAAGTTCCAGATAGATTAAAAAGTCAAATACGAAATAAGGAAGCTATAAGCTCCTTCTCTGTTTCCCTCCCTGTTCAGTTTTCCCTCACAGCACTTCTCATTCTCTGACATGCATCAGTTTGTTGACGCTTCTCTCTTTACTAGACGGTATGTTCAGGAAAAGCAGAGCCGCCTTCTTCTTCTTCTTCTTCTTTTTTTTTTTATTAAATCACAGCAGTGTACATTAATACTATCATGGGGTACAGTGTACTGTTTCTGTATACAATTTGAAGTACTTTCATCCAACTGGTTAACATAGCCGTCATGTCTTTTTCTTAGTTATTGTGTTAAGACATTTATATTCTACATTTAGAGAGATTCACATGTATCCTTATAGGATGAACCGTAGACGTGATCCCGCCAATCACCCTCCCTCCTCTCCCTCTCCCCTCTCCCCATGTTCCTGGCCTAAAATTGGGTTATAGCTTTCCTGTAAATGCTATAAATTAGTTTCTCAGTAGGGCTGAGTACATTAGATACTTTTTCTTCCATCCTTGGGATACTTTGCTAAGAAGAATATTTTCCAGCTCCATCCATGTAAACATGAAGGAGGTAAAGTCTCCATCTTTCTTAATGGCTGCATTAAGTATTCTATGGTGTACATATACCACAATTTATTGATCCATTTATGGATTAATGGAGCTGCCTTCATTCTGCCGACTGATTTATTCTCAGCACCTAGAATAATCTGATACATGGGAGCATTTACTAAATGCCATAGAACTTCTGCAAGTTGACCACCCAAGGAACTGTAACAAATTCGTTAACACAAGCACTAGGTCTACTGTACTAACATATACATGTGGTGCATGTCTGGTCTATGAAAATTTGATCCACTCTAGGAAGTGGTCTATATAGGGAGGTGGTCATTTATGGAGGTTCTCCTGTATCTGTAAATGAATGAATAAAAACAACAAGAGAAGGCCCAAGGCAGGAAGAAAGTTCCCTTTTAAAATGAACATATGTGACAAAAAAAACTCCAAAAAAAAAAAATCCAAGAATAGCTTTGCCCACTTTTCATACATCAATATTACCACAACTTTCAAGATCCACAGACATCAAAGTTGCTTCCTTTTTTCTTGTTTTGTTTTTTTAAACAGGCTTTGATCTGATTTATTGGAGAGGAGGGAGGAGAAACCTAGTTTATTTTTGCACTTTGCTAACATCAGTATTCAGAAATTTTACGTTGCTGTTACACTCTTCTCAGCATGCCATTCCATCCCACACCAAATCTGCATGTTCATTTTGTTTCTCCCGGTTGAATGCAGCTGCATTTTCCCAGTTTGGGTGAGCATCAGATTGTACCCACTTCCTTCTTGCCTTTGGCTGGACCCAATCTCTTCATCTAGGCATTAAAATTCTGCAGGGTTCTGAGCACAGACAGCATGAAGCCCACATCTAGCCTCTTTGAGGCCTTCTTTGCATGATTCAATAAAGCACTTGCAAACCAGCTGAAAAGAGCTTAAAAATATTGCAACAGAAAATATCATTTCTTTCAGTCCACAACTTGGATTGGAGAGGAGAATGAATCAAAATTTGACCTACCGAGGGTGGGATCATATTCCCAGATGAACCGTTTGGTCAGAAATCTCACTACAAGAGCTGTGGAAGAAAAAAGCAACATTTCAGATAAATTTGTTAATTTGCTTAGCGTTCTTAACCTTTTAAGGAAACGGAAATGGTCCGTAAAACCTTTTATGTGCTTTATATTTCCTTGAGATATAAACCCAGTAATTGCTTCTATGTTATTAAAATGCTTTTTCAATTCCACAGCCTAAAGACTGTCCATGATATTTTAATGGTTTTATTGTGCATTAATTAACAGCTTAGGTTTTGTTCCATTAGTTATCAAGTTAGAAACAAAACAAGCAAAAAGTACCACAATGTGAAAACACGTATAAAATTTTCAGCAAAACAATCAATTCAGGTACAAAGGGTCATAATACAAGCATCTAAAGTTTGAATATTGCTAAGGATTGAAAAAGGTGAGTTACAAATGTGATAATTTGCACTGTAATGGAAGATGATGAGCATGTAATCTGTATCACAAAGAAGTAGATATTCATGTCAAGGATTTTTTCAGGGATTGATTAAAGGTCGTCAAAACCTTGCATGATCTCAGTTCTCACTCAACCCCTATGAGGCAGGTAGTATGATTGTTCCCATTTTTCAGATAAGGAAACTGAGGCTCTGAGAGGTTAATTAATTTCACTGAGCTCATCTAGCTAGTTACGGACTGGTAAAAGATTTAATCCAAGAAATCTGTAATTTATCCATGGCACCAAACTGAATTTAAATCCTAGGCCATCTGGATAATATTTAAGTGGAAGATGGGTTGGAGTGAGAGAAATGCAGAATTATGTGGTCTCTACTGTCCTTAAAAATTGATCAGACGTGTGACGAACATTTTCTAACACTTGTACTATAGTTTAAAATGGTTTTAATCTTTTTCAAATAATTTGTGAAGGTGGTGTCATAGACACTTTAAAACTGGAATGAAAGTACTTAATTCTTTTCCTGGAGAAAAATCACATGTACATAATTTGGTATATAATTTCAGCAGACTCATCAGCTCTCCAAAGGCCCTGTAATGTCTCCCTGGGATCCCACTGACCTTAACCAAAGAATCATTGTCTATCATATTTTATAGTTTAAAAGATATCTATTTGTATATTTTTATTTTTACTGAATGCCTTGGATGTAGGAGTCAAGATACTCTTTGAAGAAATAAAAGAAGTTAGTTGAAGGTTATTGCCAGCTTTTATCGACTATCACCTTTTAGGATCAGCAGACGTACATACCTCCTACCACAAAGTCTCAAAGGAGAGACCAAAGTGCAGAGTACAATGAGGACTTTGCAAAATAGAGCTCAGCTATACACATGTGGTTTCCCTACTGGTAGCTGGAGACTGAAAATGGCAATGTTCTTTCTAATTACAGAGTGTGAGGCTGAATTTGAGCCAACATATTTGCAGTGCCTAAAGTAGCAAGGCCACTGACCCCTGTAATACTTCCCACAGTGAGAGTCCTTGTGGTTTTATCTGGGATCTTCAGAGTCTGTCGCTGTTCACTCTCCTGAGACTGAGATTTTGACTTTTGCATGTAGGAAGTCATAAGCACTAGATGGATATTTTTCTTTTTTAAAATTAGAAAAGTTAGTAAACATAACTGCTTGTGGAATTTAAGGAGTTTCATCTTGTGTTAGAATATGTAGTTTTAACTCAACCTAGAAAAATTAATTATCTACTGTCTTCAGGAAGGAGCTATTAATATTCGCAATTTTTTTTTTTTTTTACGTAACTGAAGCTTGAAGTTCTCCAGTTTCAAAATCATTTAAACTTTAATCATTTCTCAAAATCTTTTGAAAAATGTATCAGGCATGCCAGTGCCTTTCTAAGCTGAGTATACTGAATCATTGAATCATTTTTAAGTGCCCAGACCTCGGTTAAGAACATTGATGAGTTGCCTGTACAATTACACAGCAGTACTTTTTGAAGCTGTAGTGTGGATAAAACAAAATAATCCCAGACTTTATAAACAGATGTACATTTTTCCTCCCTCTCACGTATCATAACTGCCTCCTTTTGCTGGGGTCACTGACATACATTTAAAGACCCATCTGCACTTCTATTTTGCTAGCTTTAGTATACCAAAGACTGAGAAGCTATATTAAGAAATTTGTTACAATTCTGTCTAATATAGGAATAAATTAGCTCTGGGGTCAGGGACTAAGGAACCCTTTATTTGGATATGAACATTATTCTCATGCATCTTTGAGGCATCATGTTTACCGTTAAGTTGTTCCTACTGCCATCCCAGTGAATGTTTAAGTTTCCAGTAGTCAACTACCTAAAAATGGTTAACTTTCCAATAGTCACTGCCTTCCAGTGAGCCGATGTTCCCGGGCTTAATCCTCCCAATCAATCTAAATATTTTCATTGCTCTTTTTTAAGAGATGCACCTAGACTGTATTTTAACAATAGAGCCATACAGTTTTCATAAATCAGCTTATTTCAAGTCCATCAAAAAACATCTAAAACTACTTTGAAGAATTGACTTGTTGGATGTCCATTCTTTGAAGATGCGTTTTCATGTCTCTGTCACAGATTATTTACAGAAAAAGACTTTTTGTATACTTTTAGGTGTTTGATAATATTTTAACTAAAAATTATTAGTCTAAAGAATTAAAATAATAATTTTACACTTATGGAAGTGTTATCTGTCAAATTCTCTATTATTATTAAAATTGTGACATCCAGGCTGGGCTCCTGTAGTCAGCGGTGAGGGCTCCAGCCACATACACCAGGGCTGGCGGGTTCGAACCGGGCCTGGGCTTGCCAAACCACAATGCCAATTGCCACAAAGAAATGGCTGGGTGTTGTGGTGGGCGCCTGTAGTCCCAGCTATCTGGGAGGCTGAGGCAAGAGAATCGCTTAAGCCCAAGAGTTGGAGGTTGCTGTGAGCTGTGACACCATGGCACTCCACCAAGGGTGACATAGTGAGGCTCTGTCTCAAAAAGAAATAAAGAAAGAAAATTGAGACATTCCCCATTTATGATGTAATTATCAAACTCCATCAGGATTATTTAGCTTCACTTTATGATGATTGTCATATCCCATAACAAAGCTGTACCACTTCTCACCTGCTCCACCACGAACCTTCTCAGTGTGTGGTTTCACCAGCGACTCTGCTAGTGCTTCCTTAACTGCGGCTTTACTTCTGTGCACCCCGAGACCACTCTCTAGTCTGCAGCCAATGATTTTGTTAAAGCATAAGCCATCTTGTGTCATGTATTTGCTCAAAATTCTCTCTGACCTCATCCCTTTGACCCAATTTTTATTGCATGCCTACTCTGTGCCAGCATCTATTCTAGGAGTTTGGAATAATATAGACAACAATTCAGGCAAATATCTCTGCCCTGATAGAGCTTATCTTCTACCAGAAAGGAGGCAGACTAAAAAAAAAGATAATAAATAGGGGGGGGCGGAGCCAAGATGGCGAACTGCAGCCAGCTTTTTACAGAAGCTCCCGTCCAGAAGGAGGCTGAAAGGACAGAACCTTAGCAAATTAGCTGATGGTTTGGAGCAGAGACAAGAGAGAAGATTGAAGAGTGCACTTCAACCTTCCTGAGGCGAGCTG